CTCGGGTGGATTTCTGGACCACACAGACTGTCCATCAGTCCACCTGGTAATACTTACTGAGCTCTCACTATGTCCAGGGCATTGAGTTTTGGGAATAAGTGGATGAACAGGGAGATACTGTCCTGCCCGCATGGGGCCTGTGATCCAGCAGGGAAGATGAACAGTGGGCAAGTGTAGAGAGCACTACAAAGATGGGGGCGGTCTTGTGGTAACAGGATCCCACTTCCCTTAGAACAGAGTCCAGACTTCTTGGCTCGGCCTACAAGATCCAAGGTGATGCAGTCCCTGCTTCATCAGCTTCCCTGTGAGCCACGCACACCGCCCCACTGCCAAGTTCAGTCACTCTGGGCTTTCAGCATCCTTGCACACTCCTCCTTTGTCTGCACTTGCCTTGACTGAAACAACCTTCTCCCTAGAGTTTCTCCTTCTTAGGGTTCAGTTGAAATGCCTGATATTTGGAAATGCTTTGACTGGGTTGCCCTTTTTACTTCATATTCATCCAGTTCCACACAGGAGTTGAGATGGATTACAAAAACATAAATGTTCGTTCATTCAAGCCTTCGGGTATGTGTTTATTCCATTAACAATCTCTGTTTCCCAGGCACTGTTTTGGGTGCTGAGGATACAGGGATGAATGAGACAGGAAGGGTCCCTGCTCTCATGAGGCTTATCCCTTCAGAGAGGGAGACAGTGAGTCACAGAACAAATGAAGAATCAAGATAACATCAGAGTATTAAGTGCTACGAAGAAAAGAGGACAGTAAACCTAGATAGCATATTAAAAAAGGACAGACATCACTTAGCCAACAAAGGTCCATACAGTCAAAGCTATGGTTTTTCCAGTAGTCATGTATGGATGTGAGAGCTGGACCATAAAGAAGGCTGAGTGCCAGAGAACTGACTTTTGAGAGTCCCTTGGACAGCAAGGAGATCAAACTAGTCAATCCTCAAGGAAATCAGGCCTGGATATTCACTGGAAGGACTGATGCTGAAGTTGAAGCTCCAATACTTTGGCCACCTGATGTGAAGAGATGACTCACTGGAAAAGACCCTGATGCTGGGAAAGACTGAGGGCAGGAGGAGAAGCGGGCAACAGAGGATGAGATGGTTGGATGGTATCACTGACTCAATGGACATGAATTTGAGCAAACTCCAAGAGACAGTGGAGGACTGAGGAGCCTGGTGTGCTGCAGTTCATGGGGCCGTGAAGACTTGGGACCCAGCTAAGCAACTGAACAACAACAGAATAGTATGCGTCGAGTATGACGTGGCAGCTGACATGAGATGTGCGTGACGACATGGAGCCCATCAAGCAAAACCCGGAGGAAAGAGTTCCAGACCAATGGGAGAGGAAGAAGAAAGGTCTGAAGATGAGAGAGAGCTTGGCACAATCAGAGGACAGCAGGAGGGCAGTGTGGCAAGATCCTAGTTACTATGGTCAAAAATAAAATAAGGAGGCATCCATTTGACTGATTAACCTTGTGGATTTGGGCTCTGGGAAGATTTAAGAAGGAAAGTCATAGAACCTGACTTACTTTTTAAGAACTCATCCTGATTTATTTTTCATTGTGTATCCATATATATATTTTGAATTTTTTCCCCTATGAATACTTCAGCTTATGAAAACATCTATCATTAACTCTAAGATGCATATTTTTTTAAACATTTTAACATGTCTGAAATCAGGATGCATCTAACAGTTGATAATGTATCTGTTTAATTTGTCAACACTCTTTCTTTCTTATTGATAAACAGTGGTGATTCTTAAAATGACAGACCCACAGGTTTGAAGAAAAAGGATAATTTAAAAATTTTTGTCACTTTTATTATCACCTGTCACTTTTCTCAGATTTTCATTTGCATTTTAATTTTTATTTATTTTTATTCAATTTCTCTTTTCTCAGTACAGTGGCAACATGAACAACTATAAAAGACTGGAAAGACAACAACTATAAAGACTGGAAAATTTACCCACATTAAGACACAGAGTTAAAAAAGACAAGCAAGAATAAGAAAAAAAATCTGCAATTAAAAAAACTGACAAAAGGCATTTATCAAAGAACTATTTTTATAAGGGTTCCTATAAACTGAAAAAAAAAGAAAACATTGCAACTGAAGAAAAAACTGGGCAAAGGAAATTTACAAAGAAATTCCCAAAGACTAATGAAATAAAAGAAAAATAACTCACTAGCACTCAGTTATATAAGATTTTAAGACAACAGGACATCATTTCAGCTAATCAGATTGGCAAATTTCTACCAATATTTAAAAATATTTAATATATGAAAATATCCAGCGTTAGTGAAGATTTAGAGAAAGAGTATCCTCATCTACTCTTACTGAACACATAAATTAATAAAAAGAATTCTCGAGATCATCTTGGTAGCTATTAAAATTCACAATGCACAATCCTTTAACCTAGCAATTTCTGCAAATATGCACATATACACGTGTCTTCTACAACACTGTTGAATATAGAAACATAAAAAGGCAGCAACCTAAATGACCATCAGTGAAAGTGAAAGTCGCTCAGTTGTGTCCAACTCTTTGTGACCCCATGGACTATACAGTCCACAGAATTCTCCAGGCCAGAATACTGGAATGGGTAGCCTTTCCCTTCTCCAGGGGATCTTCCCAATCCAGGGATCGAACCCAGGTCTCCTGCATTGCAGGCGGATTCTTTACCAGCTGAGCCACAAGGGAAGCCCAAGAATACTGGAATGGGTAGCCCATCCCTTCTCCAGCAGATCTTTCCAACCCAGGAATCGAACCTGGGTCTCCTACATTGCAGGCAGATTCTTTACCGACTGAGCTATCAGGGACCATCAGTAGGGACTAGATTAAATAAAATGGAATTTCGGTGCAGAGGAAATGGCTATAAAGCCACTAGAAATAATGAGGAAGAATTATATACACTGACATGAAAAAACAGTCATGATTTAGCAGGACATGAAAAGAGCAAGTCACAAAACAGTATGTATAAATTATTTTATTAAAATTACATATATGGAGAAGGAAATGGCAACCCACTCCAGTATTCTTGCCTGGAAAAGTCCATGGACAGAGGAGCCCGGCGGGCTGCAGTCCATGGGATTACATGACTGAGCATGTGTGCATGAGGGTGGAGGAAGATGGGTTGGTAGCAATAAAGTGGTAGAACTAAAAAAAAATAAAATAAAATAAAATTACATATAAACCTATATTCATATATAGAAGCATAGATTCATTCATTCAACAAATACATGTTAAACTACAACAGATATTTATTCAATCTGTATAGACATTCATTCAACAAAAATTTACTGAATCTTTTATGTACCAGGCATTGGATTATATTTATGTATGTACTTCATTATATATATATTCACCTTTCTCTGGGTACACTGTTCATCTATATGAGAAAATACTCGGAACACTGGTTATGTTGGATAAGGGGAAGGTTCTCTCTCCTTCGTATGTTTCTACACTGATGGATCAAAGTTCCAGCAAAGTATTAAACAGTTCACTACAGATAATCGTTCTGACTCAAATATTAACGAAACATATAGAAAATTATGACAGGCAAAGTGTGGAGAAAGCAAATCGGCCAGCAAATGACAAAGCTTGAACAGTTTCTACTTATAATCTGTGTAAGGGCAACAGAGGATGGGGGAGATATTATTTTCTGTGGAAATTCTCTTAGTAATCTGATCACTAGCAGGTATCTAAGGCACTGTGGTTGTGTGAAAGAGGAGGCGTACCTAATTATCTGACATTTGTTGTGCTATCTACGTCACCCATCCGAGAAGGCCGTCCTCTCTAAGCACATTTTCTGACCTGAATTTTTAATAAGGCCCTTTAACGTCTCTATCAGCTACAGATTGAGAATGATGGAACATTCTGGAAGAGTTTTACTATAATTTGAGAGGCTTTAGAAATGAGGAAAGTGTTGTTGCAAGCATTCATACTTAAAACTTGGGGGGAGGGACTTCCCTGGTGGCCCAGGGGTTAAGACTCCACACTCCTAATGGAAGGGGCCAGGTTTAATTCCTCTGCAGGGAACTAGATTCCACATGCCACAACTAAAAAAATCCTGCAGGCTGCAGAAAGATGGAACATCCTGAGTACTGCAACTAAGACCTGGTGTAGCCAAATAAATAAAATTTAAAAAAAATTTTGAGGGGAAAAATGAAGGCAGGGGCCAAGCAGGTGACATAAACCAGGAAGCAGGTCAGGTGTGAGACAAGAGTGGGTGGTGGGGTCAGAGCTGGGGAGGACACGACCTGTCTAACCAAGGCGGCTGCTGCCCAGTGACCACCATGCAGGAGTCAGGATCTGATGTTTTCCAAGATCTGATATTTCCAAGCAAAACTGGAAATCAAGACTTTCATGAAAAATCTCCTATTTTTGAAACGCTGACAACTAATTTAAATTCTCTCTAAAAAAAAGATTAAGGATTGGGGACCTATGGACATCTAAGGTGAGTCATACCAAGTGAGTGAAAGTCGCTCAGCTGTGTCTGACTCTTTGTGACCCCATGGACTACACATACAGTCCATGGAATTCTCTAGGCCAGAATACTGGAGTGGGTAGCCTTTCCCTTCTCCAGGGGGTCTTCCCAACCCAGGGATCGAACCCAGGTCTCCTGCATTGCAGGCGGATTCTTTACCAGCTGAGCCACAAGGGAAGCCCAAGAATACTAGAGTAGGTAGCCTGTCCCATCTCCAGGGGATCTTCCTGACCCAGAATCAAACTGGGGTCTCCTGCATTGCAGGTGGATTCTTTAGCAACTGAGCTATCAAGGAAGCCTGAGTCATACCAAAAACCATTTTAAATTTCTTCCTGGTAACAGTGGTGGAAGAGAACATTGTAGCAACAGAAGGATAGATGTGAGTGCACACGTGCACACACACACACAAATACACACACACACTCACACTCAACCTTTAAAAAGAAAAGGGGAAAAAAGAGCTGACATGGTCCTACAGCCCAGGTTGTATGACTCAGGTTACGGATACTTGCCCATTTGAAGTGTGTCCTCTGAATGCAAGTCTAAAATGGGTTTTGATAGGAGAGGTTTCAGTCTGCAGAAGATGGGAAAAAGAAAGATGAGGCAAGTAGCTCATTTACCGCTAAAACACACTCACACAGACACAGCAAACAGATACTGGGTTGGCTAAAAAGTCTCGGGTTTTTCCATCAGATGTTATGGAAATATCCAACAGACTCCTTGGCCAATCCAATATCACTAGTGTTCAAAAGAAGGACCACGCCAAACGGTCATCTGTTTAATCACACTTGACCTTAGACCCATACAGTAAAAGTCTATGTGATATAAGTCTCAGGTTAGGTCAGCTAAGCTTTACACTGAGAATCTGCTATCAAATCACAAACAGATCACAACACACTTACTTAGAAACAGCTACAGACAGGCTAGCAAGAATTGTTCAAATGTTCCAGTATTTTTCAAGTCATCACTAGTGTCTTGCCTCTTCTCAAACAGAACTTTTTAAGATAGCTTATTATTTCTCACAGACAAACTAAAAATATTGACTGCTACAGGGACCTAAAGTTTAGTAACATTTATGTGATAACTCCCTCAATCAAGAATCTGCAAAAAACTAGGGAATTCCCTGGCAGTCCAGGGGTTAGGACTTATGCTTCCACTGCCAGGGACCTGGGTTTAGTCCCTGTTCAGGCAACTAAGATCCCACAGGCCATGGTATGGACAGAGAAAAAAAAAAAAGACTATGCAAAAAATCAGGAATCAGAGAACCAAGTTCAATATCCCAACAACCATACACAAATGTCAATGCTTTTTAACCCCAGAAAACCACCCTGGGCCTTGAGCCTACTTGCCCTGATTTCACTCAAGAGTTCCAACAAGTTTAGTCAGTTTGTATTTAGTCACACTTCGTAGTGCTCCCAGAACATCAGAATTCCAGTATAGCAGCTTCAAAGCATATTTAATGTAAGATATAATTTTGTATTTAGAAAGGGTAAAAAAACTTATTTTCATGTGTGTGTGGGCACAGTCATGTCTGACTCTTTGTGACCCCTTAGACTGTAACCCTCCAGTCTCCTCCGTCCATGAAATTTTCCAGTCAAGAGTACTGAAGCAGGTTGCAATTTCCTCCTCCAGAGGCTCTTCCCGACTAAGGGATCAAACTTGCATCTCTTGCATGTCCTGCAAGACATGCAGTGTCTTGCATGTCCTTGCATGTCCTGCACTGGCAAAAGATACAAGGATAAACTAAAAAAATAAAGTTTGAAAATGACCTCCAATTCTCTCTAGATGTCTAGAGAATTAGACATCTCTAAAGGATAAGCAGAAACTTTTGTGCTTATCAAAATTTGGTTAAATGTAAGAATTGGGATTTTATTTATATGACCATTATAAAAAGGAGAGTGGACCTGTAGGTTATAACTGTTGGAAAACCTTAACCTTGGTCTTGAAGTCAGAGTTTAAATTTCAATTCCACCCCCTTCTAGCTAGGTGACTTTAGGCAAATTAACTAAACTTCTCTGAGCCTCAGTTTTCTCATCCTGTAGAAAGGGGTCAATGATGCCACTTAATTTATGTGTCGGCTCTGAGGATTGAGGAGGACCATCCAAGTGAAGCATTTAATGTGGGCAAAGAAAATTGGCAAAGATTAGCAAACTCATCACTTACAACTTGGAAAACTCCTTGAAAACTAAACTCAGAATGGCCCCTATAACATCTCTTATAGAGTAACTATAACTTCAGCCTCCCATTCATTCATTCAAAAAACTCTGAATGGACTTCCCTGATGGTCTAGTGGTTGAGAATTCACCTGATAACGCAGGGGACACAGGTTCGATCCCTGGTCCAGGAAGATCCCACTAAGCCCGAGAGCCACAACCACTGAAGTCCGACTGCCCACGAGCCCATGCCCCGCAACAAGACAAGCCGCGAGAATGAGAGGCCCTCAGGACACTAGAGAGCAGCCCCCGCTTGCCACAACCAGAGAAAGCCTGCCCAGCACTCAGCAGGAACAACAAAAAAAAAACAAATATGCTATTGTTATTTTAAAAAAAAAAGAATCTTACTACATATCCATTCTGGGGCCAAGCACCTTTCTATACACGACGGATATAAAGGAGTAAGCAAAATACACACAAAAATTCAAATTATCACACAACATTGTTAATCAACTATACTCCATAAAAATTTTTTAATTCAGATTGCTAATCTACTACAAGTCACTTTTTTGTTAATGTTCAAGGGAATGACATAAACAGAGAGAAGAGTGACAAAGGATGGTATATTTCCTGTTGACAACTGCACAGTACATTGGAATGAGGGTCCTGGGGTAAGAGAGAGAGCAGGGAGGGGATGAAACGTGCAGTCTCCTGCATCCGGACCTGAGGTCTCCCAGAGCTGGCTCCGAATCCCACCAGGCTCCTGCTTCTGCCAAGGTCACACTTACTTGATGCTATGCAGCTTCCTCGTGACTATCATCGGAAAGTCAACTTCAAAATATTTCCTTGGTAGAAGATCTTCATCCTGAGAAAAAAAACAGAGAGTCATCTTTATACAAGGTTTCCCCAGTGGCTCAGTGGTAAAGAACCTGCCTGCCAATGCAGGAGATGCAGGTTTGATCCCTGGGTCAGGAAGATCCCCTGGAGAAGGAAATGGCAACCCACTCCTGTATTCTTGCCTGGGAAATCCCATGGACAGAAGAGCCTGGTGGGCTACAGTCCATGGGACACGACTTTGTGACTGAGCACACCTGCAATTTTTATACAATTATTACTCATACATTTACCGATCACTTTCATGTACCAAGTCCTAGGGCCCTAAGAACAATGGGGGTGCTTAAGGATTTAAAATCAGGGTAATGAGGACTTTCCTGGCAGTCCAGGGATTAAGACTCACACTTCTACTGCTGGGGGCAAAGGTCTGTTCCCTGGTGGGAAAACAAAGATCCCACATGCCTCAAAGAGTGATCAAAATAAAAAATAAATTAATTAAAATAAAATCAGGGGAAGGATATAGTCAGAAATGTACTCTCCAATTTACTTGGTCTCAGCGTCGAGAATGGATGAAGGGGAAAAGGAGATTATTGTAGTTGTCCAAGAGAGAAGTGATGGGGAGTCTGAACCAGGAGAATGGTCACAGGGATGTTAAGAGGTGGTTTGGATGCAGGACATGAGGGTATTTCTCAAAAACACAGCTTGAGACCTATTAGAGAGGGTCAAGAAACCAATGTGGTAAGTTGTAACCAGCAGACTGGGGGTGTAATATATATCAGAAAATTTCACATGGAATTAGGGTCAGCATTATTTTGTGATATATTTATTTTTTCCTGAGATAGTGGAGAACAGTGGGGTGGTGAGCAGCAGGTACTCTGGAGCCCGAGAGTGGGGGAAAGGTTCAAATCCCCACTACACCACTTGTTTGCTGTAAGGCCTTGGAACAGTCACTAAAATCCTGGGCTAATGTTTCCTTATTTGAAAAGTAGAGAAAATGATTAACACCTCATAGGGCTGTGAGCATTAAAGAAGAAACACATGAGTAACACTCAGAATGGGGCCTGCCCTTAGTAGGCATCATGGGTGCCCTTATATCTTGTGTGTACAGACATACGTTCATAGATTCAGGTCCTGGCTAGGGGTTTACATTGGAAGGACTGATGCTGAAGCTGAAACTCCAATACTTGGGCCACCTCACGTGAAGAGTTGACTCATTGGAAAAGACCCTCATGCTGGGAGGGATTGGGGACAGGAGGACAAGGGGACAACAGAGGATGAGATGGCTGGATAGCATCACCGACTCGATGGGCATGAGTTTGAGTAACTCCGGGAGTTGGTGATGGACAGGGAGGCCTGGCGTGCTGCGATTCATGGGGTTGCAAAGAGTCGGACACGACTGAGCGACTGAACTGAACTGAACTGAAGGGCTGTACAGTTATTTTTTTTTTTACTGTGGCTACAATTTTTAAAAGTGTGAAACACACACACACAGCCCTCCTTCCCGCTTGCTTTTTCTAGCTTAGTCAGTGGTTACACTCCCATCCAGTCACCTACTGGTTGTGCTACAATTCTTCCCAGCTTCTCCTCCCTGTCCAATCAATAACTTAGCCCCAAATGTATGCAAATGGGTTTCCCCAATGACTCAAAGGTAAAGAATCTGCCTGCAATTCTGGAGGCACAGGAGACCCAGGTTCGATCCCTAGGCTGAGAAGATCCCTTGAGGAAATGGCAACCCAGTCCAGTATTCTTGGAGTCCAGTTCTGGAGACTTCCATGAACAGAGGAGCCTGGTATGCTACAGTTCATGGGGTCGCGAAGAGTCGGACAAGACTAAGCAACTGAACACACACACACAAACACACAAAAGTATGCAGATATGAGATCACTACGTAATAATACTATGAAACTAACATAATATTATGTCATATTATATGATATCACTTATATGTGGAATCTAAAATAAAGAAATGATACAAATGAACTTATGTACAAAACAGAAACAGACCCACAGACACAGAAAACGAACTTATGGTTATCAAAGAGGAAAGAAGGGAGGGATAAGTTGGGAACTTTATATGTATATACACTGCTGGGTGTTTAGTCACTCAGTCGTGTCTGACTCTTTTCGACCCTCTGGACGGTAGCCCGCCAGGCTCCTCAGTCCATGGGATTCTCCAGGCAAGAATACTGGAGTGGGTTGCCATGCCCTCCTCCAGGGGATCTTCCCAACCCAGAAATCAAACCAGGGTGTCCTGAATTGCAGGCGGATTCTTTACCAGCTGAGCTATCAGGGAAGCCCATATATACACACTACTATATAGAAAATAACAAACAAGGACCTATTGTATAGCACAGAAGACTATAGTAAATATTTCATAATAACCTCTAAGGGAAAAGACATACAGATAACTGAATCACTCTGCTGTAACACACCGTAATTCAACTGTACTTCTCAGATGCATCTTCAGCTGTGAAGACAAGAACACCACCCCCATTTGCTGTAGCAGCTCTTCACACCCCAAGACTTAGCAAGAAACAAGACGCCCCACAACCTGGCCAACATACTCAGAAAGGGGCTGATATCCAGAGACTGGTGGGGGCTTCTCTGGTGTAGGATAGGACAAACAAAAAGGCGGGGTAAGGATGATATCCTCGTTTCTGACTTAAGCTATCCGGCAGCTAAGAATACCATTTATGAAGACAGGAACGAGAGATGGCCCCTTCATGGATCACAGCCTTGTCATAGCGAAGGGGCTCTCATAACTCAGTGAAGTTATGAGCCATGCTATGCAGGGTCACCCAAGGCAAATGGGTCAAAGTGAAGAGTTCAGACAAAACATGATCCTCTGGAGGAGAGAATGGCAAACCACTCCAGTATTCTCGCTGCAAGAACCCCATGAAAAATATGAAAAGGCAAAAAGATATGACGCTGGAAGATGAGCCCCCCCGGGTCGGAAGGTGTCCAGTATACTACTGGAGAAGAGTGGAGCAAACTCCTGGAGATGGTGAAGAACAGGGGAGCCTGGCGTGCTGCAGTCCAAGGGGTCAGAAAGAGTCGGACATGACTTAGCAACTGAACAACAGCAGCAAATGAGAGATGGAGGACAGGTAGGAAGTGGGAGCAGACCTGCGCAAGGGCAGAGTGATGGGGGCAGAAACCATGAGCTCGCACTTCCCGGCAGGAAGGTGACCCCTAAGGGCAAGGAACAGAATGAGGAGATCCACCCACATGGAAAATGGTCCTCAGTTAAAATTTCAGGGGATTTGGTTTGGGAGAAGAGGGAAAGAGGAGGAAAGCAGGGAGAAGGAGAGGGATGGAAGAAGGAAGAAAAAAAAGCAACAGGACAAAGGGATAACACGATTTCCTGCCATCAGAGGAAACCTGGGCTCACCCACCCTCAGCCGTTCACTCTTGGAATTGCAACACACACCTGCTGCACGAATGCAGAGCAGGGCTAGGTAAAAGCTGTCTGAAGATATTCGGAGGACGTGTTTAAAGGATACACTGAAATGACTTTTGCTAAGAAATTCTACAACACTTTTCAAGAACTTTTACTCACAAGGTACAGAGCAATAAGAACACCCTAAAATTGGGACTTCCCTGGTGTTCCAGTGGTTAAGAATCTGCCTGTCAATGCACGGGACTCAGGTTTGATCCCTTGTCCAGCAAAATTCCACATGCCATGGGGTTACTGAGCCGGTGCTTGAGAGCCTGTGCTCTGGACCAAGAGAAGTCACTACAGTGAGAAGCCTGCACACTGCACCTAGAGAAAGCCTGTGTCCAGCAGTGAAGACCCAGTACAGTCAAAAAAGCTACTAAAAATTTAAAAAAAAAAAAAAAGGCCTAAAATTCCAGAAGATCACAAGGACAATCCAAAGCAAATAAATGAAGGACAGCATAGCATCCTACATCGCTTTTTACTTTTTAAATCGCTTTCCCAGGCACTTAGGCACTTGATCCTCCTAAGAATTCTGAATAAGGGGTCATTGTCAAAAGAAAGTTTCTAAAAGGCACATCTGGAGCTTTTCACAAACAGCCATCCTCTTTCTTAGCTTCCAGAAAAGGGCAAAATGGCTCTGGCAAGTGATACTTCAACTTTTCATTCTGCGATTCGCTGTGGCCCTTCTGACACCACTCCCAAGTAGCTCACAGGGCACGGGAGGCAGGGAGACACCCAGGGCTGAGCGTGGCCACCAGGGGGCAGCAGGGAACAGCCACGAGGAAGAGGGAGGTTCATCAAAGATCCAACGTGATGGACTGCTTCACTGGCGGCCAACATTGAGACTGCTTCCCCCCAACACCTGATCCTCTGGTTGGGCCACCAAGATTCAAGGCCCTCTGTGATGACATAGAGGGGCGGGACGGGGGGGAGGAAGGCTCAAGAGGGAGGGGATACATGCACACTGATCCACCTGGGCTTCGCGGGGAGGCTCAGACGGTAAAGAACCCGCCTGCACTGCGGGAGACCTGGGCTCAATCCCTGGACGGGGAGGATGCCCTGGAGGAGGGCATGGCAACTCTCTCCAGTGTTCTTGCCTGGAGAATCCCGTGGACAGAGGAGCCTGGCGGGCTACAGTCCGTGGGGTCGCAGAGTCGGACATGATTCAGGGACTAAGAGCAGCGCAGCTGACCCGCGTTGTTCTACAGCACAAACCAACACAACACTGTAAAGCAATTACACTCCGATTAAAAATGACAATAAAAAAAGGACCGAGGACCCTTACAGGGTTTCACTTACCCTTTATTTTTGGCTTATGACAAGATCACCTTTCCCTGTTCCTGCCTGCTGCCTCAAGATGGGCATCTGTGACTGTTCAGTCTTGAGCCCCTGAGATTATACAGAATGAGCTCACATGGTCGTGGCCCCAGAAAGCCTGTGACTTGCAAAAACCTCTGCTGGGGCAGCTGGGGGCGCCGTCCCAGGTGGAAAGAGCCCAAGACATCAAGATCAATGGACAAGATTTCCCTGCTCTTTTATAGAGGCACATACAGCTCTAAAACAGGGATTAGCAAACTTTCTGGTGAGAAAGTAAGCAGTTTAGCCTTGTCAGACCCAAAGATCTCTGTCGTAACTACTCAGCCCTGCTGTCCAAGTGCCAGAGCAGCCCATACGTGAGATGTAAATAAATGTGCGTGGCCGTATTCCAATAAAACTTTATTCACAAAAACAGGTGGCAGGCTGGATTTGGCCTGTACAACCTTTGCTCTAAGAGAACAAACCAGATAATATCTGTCTTAAAAAGAAGAACTTTAGATTAAAAAAAAAAAAACCCTTCAGATCAATATAATTATCAGATAATTACACTGATTTCCAAATTTCTACATAGGACTTTGAGGCCCTGCGCTAGTCCCCTTCCTCGCCTCTTTTTCTTCTAATAAATTTATTTATTTTTGGCTGTGCTGGGTCTTCACTGTTGCGTGGGCTTTTTTCAAATTTCAGCGTGCAGTGTCTCCTCTCTAGTTGCCGTGGCTTCTCTTGTTGCAGAGGACAGGCTCCAGGGCATGAAGGCTTCAGGAGCTGCGGTACATGGGCTCAGTGGTTGAGGCTCCTGGGCTCTAGAGCACAGGCTCAATAGTTGGGGTGCATGGGCTTAGCTGCTCTGTGGCATGTGGGATCTTCCCGAATCAGGGATTGAACCCCTATCTCATGCATTTATTTGGCAGGCGAATTCTTATTCACTGAGCCGCTGGGGAAGCCCCTTGTCTTTTTTTTCTTGTAAGGGGCACATATGCCTCAGTGTACCTTGCTCAGAAATTAAAATCTCAGATTTACTAATGATTAAACCACCTACAAGACGGGGGAAAAAGAAAAAAAAAAACATGACCAAGTCCAAAGGGTATCAGGAGGAGGGATCTCTCCAGCAGCCCGTATTGATGCTGGCGATACACTCTTTTACACTGCATTCTGTTCCAGTGGAACCACACAAAGGTCACAGTGTTACAGAGGCACAACTAACCCATAGAAAAGAGCCCCCCAAGTGACCACAGGGCTGTGTGCAGAAAAAAGAGGAAGGAATTGGGAACTTGATGAGCTGGAGGCCAATGTTGTCCCACATCCCAATGCTACTAGCTGTCCAATATGGGGGAAGTACTTCCAAAACCCCATATTCCCCATCTGTGTAAGCTCCCCCAACAGAGCTCTCATGTTAATTCCTGAGGTCACGTATGTAACCGCACTTCATAGGGACTTCCCTGGTGGCTTAGTGGTAAAGAACCTGCCTACCAATTCAGGAGACACGGGTTCAATCTCTGATCCGGGAAGATCCCACATGCCACAGAGCGGTAGCAATTGAGCCTGTGCTCTAGGGCCCGGGAGCCGCAACTGCTGAAGTCCACGTGCCACAACTACTGAGCCGGTGCCCTAGAGCCCAAGCTCTGTAACGAGAGAAGCCACCACAATGAGAAGCCCAGGCCCTGCATCTAAAGAGTAGTCCCCACTTGCCGCAACCAGAGAAAAGCTTGCACGGCAACGAAGACCCAGCACAGCCATAAATAAATCGATTAAAAAAAAAAAAAAGCACGTCATAAGTATCAGTTATCTAATCCAGAAGGAGGAATGCAGCGGCAAATGATTAACACCAGGGCCATGTTGAGGCCACTAATTTTTGAGTAAGAGAAAGGTGGAGAGTTCTTAAGACCAAAGACCTTCTTGTCAGGTGACAGGAGACAAAACAGATAATGCAGGTTGACTTATGCCTATACCTTCTGATTTATCTTGCTCTCTGTCGGCAAGAAATCTGGAGAAATGCACATACCCATTACTGCCACCTGATAGAAGAACCAAGAAAAATCTGTACAAACCTACCAGAAAAAAAGGAAAGAAAGAAAAATGCCATCAGTGAGATATTTGTAAGGAAAAGATTTGGTGATAAAATCCAGTCCAGGAATCAAAGATCAGAACTTCAGCGCTGGGTCTGCCACTAACCAGACCCAAGTTTCCTCTACCTGTGAGTGAGTGTAATCCCACCTGCCCTTGAACAACCCCAAACAGAACAGTTGAGGAATCAAATCAGAAAATGACTTCAAAAAGGCTTTGGATCATGTTATCTTTACCAAGTCTTGCAAATCTCCCAATGTTACTATCTAAGACACTGTTATTCTAACAACAAAATCTTTAGTTCTCATCAAAATTACAAACACATGTCTTCTTTTGTCTCAGCAGTTCTACTGGTAGAGTTCTTTCTCCTGATACATATCCACATGTGCACAGGAAAATGTACCCAAGGAATTGTATTATAACCCTGTTTGTGGCAGCAAAATGTGAGCAACAACCCACATATCTTCACTAGGGCCCTGGTGGGATAAAGTACAGAGCTGATGGAAGTTGTGGGGGATGGGAGACAGGCTGTCACCCCGTTTTAATCTATTTTTTAAAGTTTTTAAACCAGGTGAACATCTTCAACAAACTAAATTAAAATGACTGGAGAAAAGGGGGAAAATTTACCTTTAACATCCAGAAGGTGGTATCCATCCCGGCCCCAAGATTTAGAATTTGACAATTACATTCCGTCTTCCGTAGAAATGCCTTTGTAAGCTGACTGACGCCATGGACTCGAGCAAAGTATCCTAAGCGACAGACAGAGAGGCAAGCTATCACTTGGTGACGCCAGAAATAATCCGTGCAAAGCCCAGAGTGCTAGGGAGAGCAAAACAACACTTTGCCCTTCTTCAGGGTCAGGAGAAATAATGACTTTCAAATTCTCCCTTTTTAGCTGGTCAGACCAAAATAAATACAAATTAAATGGTAGTTTAAGAAAAATAAAATGCCCTGTTCTGTTACTTAGGAAAGACGAGTGTCTTTTATCAAGACATCTGATCCAAATGTCCTCTTGGAAAGGTGCTTTTTCACGGCTCTAGGGGAAGTTAATGAGTACTCTGCTAAAACTTGTCTGCAATGCAAGAGAAGCAGGAGATGCTGGTTCGATCCCTGGGTTGGGAAGATCTCCTGGAGGAGGGCATGGCAACCCACTCCAGTATTCTTGCCCGGAGAATCCAATGGACAAAGCCTGGCTATAGTCCATAGGGTCCCGAAGAGTTGGACACGATTCAGGGACTGAGCACACATGGAAAATAACATTTTTAGGTCAGGAAATTGGGCAGATGAATGTCAAAGCAAAGAGCGCCATGATTCTTATCTTGTTCCTTTAACTTCCATCCTGTGTGGGTTACAGCCTCTGTGTTTATAAAATGGCATCACCAACGTGAGGGTGGTGGAGCGGGGAAGCGAAGATACCACCAAGTGGTGGCCTAATTAATGGACTTGTTAAGCTCTAGGGTAAGAAGCTGTAACAAAGGAGACGGGAAACCCAGAAGAGAGACAGGAAGATAGCAGCTATCTGTTCTAAAGGCCTGATACTCAAGGTGTGAATGCTTTAAGAGAAAAATCTGAGAAGCATGCAGAAACTTTGTCATTTGACAGAGAAATTTTAGTGAATGTACTGATAAATAATTGGGGGGATTCCCTAACAGTCCAGTGGTTAGGACTCTGTGTTTCCACTGCCGGGGACCAGAGTTCGATCCCTGGGCAGAGAACTAAGATCCCACAAAGCTCTGTGGTTCAGCCAAATAATCAATTGATAATCCCTACATGACTTATAAACAAACAAATACTCTGGGCTTGTGTTTGCATTTTATTTTTTGAGTAAATCACCTTTTTTTTTTTTGGCCGCACCGCGAAGCATGCAAGATCTTAGTTTCCCAATCAGAGCTCAAACCCACGCTCCCTACAGTGGAAGCATGGAGTCTCAACCACTGGACCATTAGGGAATGCCTCTAGCAAATCATCTTTATTGTATTCTGCAGAATATCATCCACAATGGATTCAATTTGAGGGAAAAAGGTTCTCACCTCAGACGTTTGGGCAGTGCTCTCCTCCTGGGCTAGAGGTCCCCATTCTAGAGATGAGGACCCGGGAGAGGAAGAAGGAAGGGGGCTGCCATGCGGCCCAGGACTATGAAGAACGGCGGCTGCCTGCCTCCAGAACATTCCCTGGGAAATCTGTCTGGACAGCGGCGGAGGCGGGCTTCAGGAGGGCCTCTTGGCCAGGCCTCGCCCGGGCTAATTGCTGCCCAATCTTACCCTCAGTTCAATGTTAACTACCATGTCCTTCTCTTCAGGAACCACCATTTACACACTTCTCTGCAATTCTTATAGAACCCACCTACAGGACCCATCTTCAGCACCAAGATCCCCCCCAACCCACAAGAATCATGGTCAGTGGTCAATTTTCCAATCTGGCTGCAACTAAGTGACACTCCTGTCTCAAATCCTTTGACTTCCTTGCTAGAAATTACTTGCAGAACCTAACAGTGTTACTAACAAATAGGGCAACAACAACAAAAATAACCCCCTACATGAACAGACAGCTCATAGTAAAAGATATGTAAGTGGCTTTTAAATGCAGAATAATGAGTTTTAACCACACCTTAAAATAAGAAAACACCATTTTTCATGTACCAGAGGAATAAAGATTAAAAGTTTCATAATACACTGTGCTGGTGTGGAAGTTGGGAAACGAGCATTTCCACACCCTGGTGAAGATAGTACACCCCAGAACTCTCTTTTTAAGAATGAATTCCTAGAACCCCAGGGATTCATGAGAAGTAGGGGAGGGAGCTGGGCACTTGCCTCTGTTAATTTCAGGCGCCTTCCTCTCTTTAGAAAGTCTCACCAAATGCTGGATGTAAGGGTCCTGCCAGTAGCCAATGCTCACTGCAAACCTGAAAAAGATGAAAAAGGAAACAGGTGATTAGAGAGTAGGGTCAGGCCAGGTTCCATGGGCAAGTTCCCAGGAACCAGATCAAGGATCCAGAGATTTATCTCTGGACAAATCATGCAACTGGAGGCTATCATAATAAGTGAAGTCAGAAAAAGAAAGATAAATACCATGTGATATCACTTAAATTTAGAATCTAAACTATGACACAAATGAACCTATCTATGAAACAGAAACATTTGCCGACAAAGGTCCGTCTAGTCAAGGCTATGGTTTTTTCCGTAGTCATGTTTGGATATGAGAGTTGGACTATAGAGAAAGCTGAGCACTGAAGAACTGATGCTTTTGAACTGTGGTGTTTGAGAAGACTCCTAAGAGTCCCTTGGACTGCAAGGAGATGAAACCAGTCAATCCTAAAGGAAATCAGTCCTCAATATTCATTGGAGGACTGATGCTGAAGCTGAAGCTCCAATACTTTGGACACCTCATGCAAAGAACTGACTCAATGGAAAAGACCCTGATGGTGGGGAAGATTAAAGGCAGAAGGAGAAGGGGACGACAGAGGATGAGATGGTTGGATGGCATCACCGACTCGATAGACATGAGTTTGAGCAAGCTCCGGGAGTTGGTAATGGACAGGGAAGCCTGGTGTGCTGCAGCCCATGGGGTCGCAAAGAGTTGGACACGACTGAGCGACTGAACTGAACTGGTGAAACAGAAACAGAATCATGGACATAGAGAACAGACTGGTGGTTGTCAAAGGGGAGGGCATTGGTGGAAGGATGGAGAGGAAGGCTGGGGTTAGCAGATGTAGGCTATTATATGCAGAATGTATAAACAACAAAGTCCTACTGTATGGCACAGAGAATTGATTCAATATCCTACATTAAACCATAACAGGAAAGAGTATTTTAAAAAAGAACGTATGTGTGGGAGTATACACACACACACATATATAACTGAATCACTATGTTGTAAGCAGTAATTAACACACTGTAAAAAATCCACTACACTTCAATTTAAAAAAATAAAAAGTCAAATAACATTCAATGCTCCAGCCCAAGTTTAAACAGACTCATCCATCCACCTTTAAATTCACAGTCATTCCCATCACACTTCCCACCAGTCATTTCTTACCTCTCTGTTCCCACATATCATTCATTCCTTTCCCAGGACCCTAAACAGCAAGCAAGCTCACCTCATATTTCATACAGCTCTTCGAACATTTATTCACACAGCAAACTCACTGGCCGGAGCTAGTCAGGTAACTCTGCTCAAACAAAAGTTTTGTGTCCAGGGGAAGGGAGACCCCAAAATAAATAGCAAATATCACTAATAACTAACAGTATTTCTCCTGACTCTGTCAGTCCTTTCATGTCCCTTAAGGAGGCTGTGGTGGAGAAACCAGGAACAAATAAAACAGCTCCAATTTGGAAAATGCCAGGGTAGCCTAAAGGTTCTCAACCCTAGTCTACACTACAAGAATGATAGATGCTGTGTTCCAAGCCGGGGAGCTAAAGGCCTGATTACCACTGGAAATCTCCAGGCAATCATGAGTGGAACCAGCCTCAGGACAAATGAGAAGTCAGGGAAGGAATCTGGATCCCTAGGGCCATACCACAACCCCCAGGGGCCCAGAGCCTTCTCTACCTCGCAAGGAAAATTTAGTGAGATAATGAATGTCTTTACCACTTACATCAAATTGAGTCAGGCTTCTGTTACTTACAACCTTAAGCATCCTAAGTGATATCCCGCAAGATACATCCACTCCACATTGCCTGGTAAATAAGCTGAAACATAAAGCGAGTGTGTGTGCGTGTATGGTGTCACCCAGTTAAGTTCTAAGCTCCCAGACACACATTTACATCTTTTCTTTTCTTCATACCTACCAACACGGCTTAAGTGCTCAGTCGCTCAGTCACGTCTGACTCTTTGCGACCCCATGGACTGGAGCCCCACCAGGCTCCTCTGTCCATGAGATTTCCCAGGCAGGAATACTGGAGTGGGTTGCCATTTCCTCCTCCAGGGGACCGTGCCAACCCAGGGCTCAAGCCTGTGTCTCCTGAATCTCCTGCACTGACAGGCAGACTCTTTCCCACTGTGCCGCGTGGGAAGCCCCTACCATCAAGGCTTACTGCTGCCGTAACGGCAATAGCTGCTGAATTCTGTACAAACAGGCCCCCAGTCTCCTGCACCCATGTCTCCACAACCACAGGCATTCACAAGGAGGCACATGTGTGGAGCTACTCGAGACAGCAACTCAACACACAAACACACAAAGTACTAAGGAACACAATTTGCTAAAAGCCCAGACTGTCCAAGGAGAACAGCAGACCCACAGAGTTTTACAAAGCAAACTTGCTCAGCTGTCTAAAACAGTGATTCTCAGGAATTCCCTGGAGGGCCAGTGCTTAGGACTTCATGCTTTCACCACTAAAGGCAAGGGTTCAATTCCTGGTTGGGGAACTAAGACATGCATCTCGGCCAATGAAAGTAGCGCTTTTCAAGCAATGAGTTGTGACCCATTCATATCACAAAATCAATGTAATAGTTTGCAAATCTCCATTTTAAAAAATGAAGTAGAACACAGTAAAGCAGAAAATAGCAGCATCATACTATATTGGAGAAGTCAGGACTGCTTTTGTGAAACCTCTGTTTCAATGTATGTTGGGTATATAAGCGCTACGAAAAGAGTGTTCTTGAGAACTCCCTGGCAGTCCAGCAGTAGACTTGCAACTCTGAGCTTCCACTGCAGTAGACATAGGTTCAATCCCTGGTGGGGGAACTAAGATCCCACAAGCAATTATCAAAAAAAAAAAAGGAAGAAACACTGGTTTAGGAATCATTTCTCGCCATCTAGTGGTAAACGTCACATGTGCAGTTGAAGCAAGACCAGTAGGTGATGGAGATGTGATGAGAACACAGGTCAAACTGCTCCTGCCCCGACATCCAGGGCAAGAATCCTGTCGACAACACGGAACCACTGCTGACTGCTCCCCACAGAGAAGGCACTCACCCCACCACCAAGAAGCTCGAACTGCTGAAAAGCTGATCAATTTGCCTCCCTCTAAGTGTTCCCTGCTGGATTCACTAGTGCCCTCTTGGATAACAAGGAGCAGTTTCTATTCCTTCCAACTCAGCATTATCAGTCGATTTAATACTATTGATTCAGTCCAGCAATGTTTATTGAGTGTCTAGCGGTATTTATTGTCTGCTAAGTGCTGGGCATTGGATTACAGTGGTGAACAAAACAGAGAAGCGACAGAGACAGAGATCATGACAAACGAGGGATGTAATTATATAGTGAATGGAGGAGCTATAGCAGAGGTGAAATGGAAAGCCTCTCTTACAGGGCATGGCTGAGCTGAGTCCTAGAGAATCAGAGAAGGGCAGCTGTGTAAAAGGCATTCAAGACAGGAGGAACTGCAGGCAGAAACGCTCGGGGGTGGAGTGGAAGTGGAATGTTCCAGAAGCAGGAAACAGGGAGGGCTGGAGGAGAGTAAGGAAACAGGAGGAACTGAAGAGGAGGTTGGAGAGAGAAGTGGACTCAGGTCATACAGCGCCTGGCAGGAGCCTGGGATGGATCCCACAGCACTCAGGGCGTGGTCAGTGATGTTCAGCGGTACAAAAAGGTGGGGCGATGCATGGACATAACCCAAGGACCCCCCAAACACTTGGGGAGACACACAAACATAACCCAAGGACCCCTGATCACTAGTTCCAATGACTTCTGCTTCCTAAGGTTACCATCACATGTCTTGTCCCAGTCCTCAAATCCAGATGACTGCCAGTGGTTACCATGCCTCGGACTTAAAAAGGATCTCACAGCTTAGCCTGGGAGAGCAGCCAAGATAAAAAGCCGAATTAACACACTGCTAGGAAGAAGAAGGAAGAGGGCGCTGCTGGGCCCCATCCTGGGAAGTCCGAAGGGAGGTGAGCACCGTGATTCAGAATTTACAGGCTGCCAATGCAGCTGAGCAGATAACAGTGCACCTCCACAATGAATATTAACCAGTCATCTGTAACAGGAACTAAGGAACTTTCCCTGATGGTCCAGTGGTTAAGACTCCATATCCCCAATGCAGGGGAACTAAGATCCCACAGGCTGCATAGGGCGGCCGAAAAAAAAAAAAAAGAAACCTAAAGAACTGGGGACGGCAAGACGTGTTCATAACACGTACACTATATTTCGTCATATAAGACACCATCAATTTCAAGATTGAAAAAAGAAATTTAAAAAACACTACCAGTGAATGTTTCTTTTTTAACTGCTTAGAATTTTACTTTTGTAATTATTGAAAAAGCTCCTTTATTGGGCCAGAGCGTCATCATCTCCCTCTCTCTGGTACAGACAGAAAAAAGAGTGAGGTAAGCTGGCTAAGCCTTCACTTTCAGGATGTCTGTGCCTTTCCACACAATACTGACCTCTGTGTCACCGAGGGCATTGGTGAGGATGTATTTCTTTCCTTTAATATTTGTTTATGTATTTATTTCGCCTGTGCTGGGTCTTCACTGCTGCTCGCAGCTTTCTCTCTAGCTGCAGAGACCAGGGGCCACTCCCTAGCTGTGCAGAAGCTCCTCACTGCAGTAGCTTCTCTCGTTGCAGAGCGTGGGCTCCTGGTGCACAAGCCTCAGTAGTTGTGGCTCCCGGATTCTGGAACACAGGCTCAGTAGTTGTGGCACACGGATTTAGCTGCTCCATGGCATGTGGGATCTTCCCGGATCAGGGACTGAACCCATGTCCCCTGCACTGGCAGGCAGAGTCTTAACCACTGAGCTACCAGGAAGCCCCTGAGGGCGCATTTCTTAAGAGATCGCCCACATTCTCTCTGAGATTTTCTTCCAAGTGGCTGACCCTCGGCCTGGAAGTTTGGCCACTGGCTCTTTCTTGATCTCATCAGACGATATAAAGGAATGATTTTCAACAGCAAACACGATTTGTGTTCTTTCTTCAAATGGCCTTAAAAGGTAGGTGGACTAAAGCACTGGCGGCTGTGGTCACAG